CAATCCAACTTCTTTTTAAAGATTATAATTTCATTGCGACACACTTAGTGAGCTTTCGGAAAGTTGTTGAAATCAGTGATCCATGCTTTTAAGGTGATTTCACATCTGAAGTTTCGAATTAACCCCCGAAGGAGTTCAAGTAACGACTGGATAAAAGAAACTTTGCAGGATACATGACAATTTTTCTCTCTTTCTCACAAATCGTCATATCTTTTTGAAAAGAATTTCAACTGATGCTACCAGTTTTCATACTTGGTCAGCCCAAACCTAGTAGAACATCAAACGGCCAGCTCGGTTGTCATTCGACGCAGCTTTTTCCCCTTTTAACTGTATTTTGTTTTCGATTCTCCTCTTAAGTTTATTTTGTTTTCGATTAGTCTTGGGAATAGAACCATCATAAATCGTGTTCTCGGGTGAACTATCATAAATCGTGTTCCCGAACTGCACGCTCACTAACATCTCGAAGTTTTAAACTGGATTGGTGTTTGACTCGTTTGTGTTTGAAGTAGGTCTGCGAAAATTTGGTAATTTGATGAAAAAAAATTTTTTTCAAGAAGTGCCAGCTTTTAAGTCATGCAATATTTGACTCCTTTGGAGGGTTAAAACCAAAATGTCAGAAAATTGTGAAACTTGCTCATCTTAAAAGTGCCTTAGGTTGCGCGTTTTGGGAATTTTCCGAGACTGAATGTGCTGCTGTAAAATTATAACCAATGAAAAGAAGATGAATTGCTTGAGCGAATGATACCAAAACTTTTGTTTTGTTGCTGGGTCGAACAGAGGGTCGAACTCAGAGTCTGATACCAGGACTTTTGAGAAATTGTTTCTTGAAATGCGGCGTTGATTCGAAATAAAAACATTACCGTCGGTGCGATCTATAATTCCGATTACGTTTGTTTGGGCAATATAAAGCAAATGGAGAATGCATCAATTATCTGTGTCCAAACAAATTCACCCATCATAAATAATTGCAGAATTGCTCTACGCTCTAGTCAAAACAATGCCGTTTGGCAATTTGTTTCATTCATTTCCATGACCCGATTACACCATTTCAAGAAAGATGCAGTTTAACCAACTTAAATAGTGTAAGATACTTAAGACAAAGCGATTTTTCGAGGATTTATAATTATACTACATCAACACACGCATTTGCGCTACAACATTGATTGCTCGTGTTGAATCTCTGACTGCCACTTGCATGTACGAGCCAGGAGGACGATGACAAAGAGGAGCAAATGGCGGAAGTTTCTTGAACATCGCCAGCAAGTTAGAGATTTTTTAACACTCTGTAATTGCCGATTGTTGATAGAGAATCAATTAAAGACCAATGGAATTGAATTACTTCGCAGATACGATAGATAGCCGAGGAAATTTCGAGGACCACTTACCTAAGACGCCGGTTTGTAGGCAAGCAAACCTAGTGGTGGCCTGAGTCAGTTCAGCAAGTAATTAGGGAGAAAAAAGAAGCCTCCAAAACCTGGCGGCACTCTCACGCAAACAATTTTGTTGATATCGAGTCCTTAACTCAAGAGCGAAGGATGTGGTAACCGAAGCAAAAGAGTCCTACTACAGGAACGACGAGCTGCAAGAACCTGTTGGAGCTAACAAGGTCTACCGACTGGCCGCTGCTTAAAGCAAAGCAAAACATCGATCACATCATGCACAATAAAGATACAGAAAGCAATTTTCTGACAAAGCCGCGGCAATATTCAAGCGGTGGAGCAAATACTACGGATGCCTCTGTAGTGAGGAGTTTCTGCACTTGACATTACCGCGAGGAACGCTTACATTTTGGATTAATGCCGGATCAAGGAGACATAATTTATGCAGGCACTGAAAAAGTTGGTAAAGCGGTAAAGTCCCGGGACTTGACGACATCTGAATTATGGAAGATGATGGGACAGCATGGAGTGGCATACTTAACATCATTCTTCAATCGGATCGTCACCCACTAGGAGGTGCCAGTGGTCTAGAATGTCACAGCCTTTATCTGGAAGAACAAGGCTATGTCAGAGGTTATTCAACATGTCGGCTGCTGTGCCACAAATGATTTATCAATGCACGCATCCATGAAGTATTATGAAAGTCACTCCAAATCGATGCGGTTTCGTAAAAGGATCCGATACCATCAACGCCATTTATGCAGTGCGATTATTAACGGAACGCCACTTAGAGAAGCGGATTCCGGTTCAATTTGCGTTTTTGGATTTAGAAAAGGCATTTGATTAAATACCACCCGGCTGATCTATTATGCTTGAGACAACATGACGCCTCAGAAGAATACGTCAGTTGGATCAAACTTCCTCCTGCGGGCACGACGGGTGCGGTACGCTGTGCAGTAAGAACGTCGATGCCATTTACAATTTTCAAATCGGAATAGAAGGCCGGCTCTATCACCCTTCTTCTTCTATACTGTGCATGGATACGGTAGCCAGGGACATTCCTGCCGCACCAATGGACCCTCCTCTACGCAGACGACGTCAAGTTAACAAAGGATCGAGGCAGGAGCTCGAAGAGGCAGCCACTAAATGGAAGACGCGATTAAATCGAACATAGCCTGCGACTGAGCGTAGGAAAGACTGACAATGTGTACTTGCATTGCAGAAAGCAAATGGCGGTGTAATCTTTAGCATCGATGGGAAGCCACTAGAAGGTCGTCATATTCAAAATACCGGGGCGCCCGAGATCTGGCGAAACAATCACTGATGCCCATGCAGAACGAACGCGGCGTGGCTGAAGTGGCGGCAAGGAATAGGAGTACTTTGAGACGCCGAATTTCAAGTAAAAGTAAGCAAGTACAAGTAAGCATACTATATTTCATAGCTCATCGTTGACAATAATCAAGTAGTATTACTTCCAAAAAACCCAAGCTTAAATTTTATTTTGCTTTTTTTCAAAAAATTAACTTCTATCTCCCTTTTCCCAGCCAAATTTCTCCCCATAGAAATCTACCCAAGACATCCCAACAAGGCTGTTCGGATAAAATGGATGCCCTTCGCCATACTCTATGCATCGGACGTATGCTGGTGAGTTTGCTGTTGAAAATGGTTCTTGACAGTGCGTGCACATGACCCCCAACTGCATTTCACCACTGACTTGCACCGCATTGCAGTCTTATAGCTCGGCCGCCAGTCATTCTAAGAGCCTGCAAATAAAATCATCCGAAAGAGCGTAACCTTCTCGACATGATGGTGCAAAAGAGCTGAGAAGGAAAAATTCCGGAGATTTTGCGGATGGGGTGAAAAAGTGCAGCTTTGAAGGTGATCGGAGTGAAGACTCTTATCAACAAAAAAAAACAATAGAGCTTTGAAAGATTTATTACAAGAAAATTGACAGTTTTGAACTTTTAGGATGAAAACGGTAACGAAAAGAGCTCTGTTCAACTTTGACTGAAAAATCCTTAGGCTAACACTGAAGCTGCGCTTTTCCACCCCATCCGTAAAATTTCGGAGACTTTTCCTGCTCAACTTTGCACAACATCATGTCAAGAAAGTTACGCTCTTTCGGATGACTACTTGCAGGCTCTCAGATGACTGACGGCCGAGTTACAAGCCTGCGATGCGGTGCAAGTCAGTGGTAAGTGCAGGTGAGGTCATGTGCACCTAGGAGCCGGTCTCAGCAAAGAGGCTCACCAGCACACGTCCGATGCACAGAAGATAGCAAAGATCATTCTTTCTATTTGAACAGCTTTGCTAGGTTTTTATATTAGGTTTCCATGCAAAGAAATTTGTCTTGAAAAAGGGAACTAGAGGCTATTTTCTAATAAAAAAGCAGAGAAAATTCAAGCTTGTGTTTCTTTTGAGGTAACCACTATCTGAATTCGTCCTTTACGAGTTATATAATATAGTATGTACTTATCTGGAAAACTTCTGTTTTTCTCCTTAATTAAGGTTCCAAAAAAGTCAAAAAAAAGTAAAAAAGGAAATTTTTCGCGCTCGATGAATTATGGTCCGTGACATTGTGACATTGCTATTTTTAGCCTTTTTCAAAAAAGATTTTTAAAACTTCTAGAATACATTTTCTCCAGTGGCCGTATTCATCATTGATATCTTGAGGTAAATTCTACTCCATGTAGTTTTATCACTCATTATCAGCAAAATTACATTGAGAATTTACCTCAAGATACTTTGTGAATACGGGTACTTGCTAATAATGAGTGATAAAACTTCCTGGAGATAGAATTTACCTAAAGGTATCAATGACGAATACGGCCACAGAAAGCGCAACGTCAGGTTTGTAGCTTTTAAAGAGCTCTATCACTTCAAACAATCCTAACATTGTTCAACTGTTTTAAGCCATAACAGGTTTTCAAGGGAACACTTTATTCACTGCCACGTTTCGGCTAATTGCCGTCTTCAGAGGCCTGGGTTTGTGAATGAAAATGAACAGAAAATGCCAAGGTTTTACAAAAAGGAGACATACAATTCTAACATTTTTTCATAGTTTGTTATCCATCTGAGAATGAGCGATGAAAAAAGGAAGGCGGCTTGTCCGCAACTTTTTGGTGTTCATGTATTTTATATAAATAAAACCGAATCTGTAAACTTGTTCGTTAGTAAGTGCGTGGCTTATAGACTCTTTTGTGTGTGAACCGATGGGGCTAAAACTCCCTTCCTTATGAATAATATCACGACGCACAAGATAGGCTACTTTTGCGATGATTTGTCGAGCCCTTCAATCGATTTATTGATTTGTTCACTTACAACGAGGGTTCACCAACCATTGTTGGATTACTCCCCCATAGTCTGTAAGTGGGCGGTAAAGTTCATTTACATTTATCGGCAAAAAAAGTGTCTCAAGTCAGCAAGGAAGACATCACAGTTTTATTGCAGGTATGGAGAGAACGGTAAGTTTCAACGTTTGAGATCAAGCAGCCCAGTTCGCGGGGCGGGACCGGTGACGCCATCTAGCAAGACATAATGTTTAGAAAAAGCATGCAAATATACAGTTTCTAGCTGTAAAACCACCTCCAAACTAAGGCGTCAAAACATTTATAGAGTCTTCTACCATGGAACGGTAGTGCGAATGTGTGCCATAGTAGCGGCTTCACGGAGTATGTGCGCAATAATGCGCTTAATGCTTTAAGGGCAATCAAAAGATATAATTAGCAGCGTAGAGAACACATACTTGAGCAGTAGCTAAGAAAAATAGCTGGTCCTCGCTGAAATAAGGTATGCTTTTGAGGCGTGGTTCCGAGCCTTCTCTCTTCTTCGCATTCTGGTAAGCCTGAATAAGCACTTTTAGTTCTAAGTCTATTACACTTGCATGTGCAGTCCCAATATAAAACTTTGTGCCAGCAAGAATGGCAAGTGATTATTGAATTTGCCGAGTTATGTACAGGGCAAAAAATGCAAACAAGGAAATCTTGTGAACCTACTTTCTTCTCATCTTACAAATTTCATTCAGCAAATAAATTGACAGGAAGTTTTTGCAAAAAGGCTTTTTGCAGATGGATGTTAAAGGATGTGCCTTGCTGTTGTAACCTTTGATCTTATTTTTGCATACTACCAAGGAAAGTACTTTTAATGTTTGCAGTTGTTTGACATAAGATGCATATAGGCGAAATCAATTTTAAACGCTGATTTAAATGTTCTAAAATTATAGGAGAAATCACTTTTTTGCGTTTCTTAGTTGGATGACGTTGCTAGGTACGCAGGTGATGCGATGGATATGATTAGCGTGGTCCCTTTCAAGGCGAGAGATTAAAGGTTCAAATTGATAGAAGGTGATTATGAGTCAGATACGCAGTCGAAAACGTCTGCAGACACTTTCAGCAATATGTTATATGTTTTTTTGAGTTGAAATCTTGTTTCAATTCAATTTATTGTTCCTCTTGTTCGATAGCAAAGTCTGTACGGCAAAAGAAGAATAAGAATCAGCGCCACTTTCAATTTGGCATATTTGACCTAAAAAATTTTTTTTGGTACAGCTACATGTGATGATATTCCTACAATCATCCTTCTTTATTGTCACTACATGTCTTGCCTTTACTTATGCGTTTCACTCTGTTTGAGTGTACGGCGGAGTTTTCAACTACAAACTGAATTTTATATACGACCACTGGTTTGTGTTTTTTAATAGTATTTTCTTTTTACAAAATGTATAGAGTTTTCAACCACAAACTGAATTTCAAATACGACCTTTGTGTTTTTTCCCAATAGTATTTGCTTTTTACATGCCTTACTAATCCATGTATTGTCATCATAGTATTAGTTCAAGTCTGACCAATTTGCCCTCTTCATTCAGTACCGCTTGTTGACTGCTTTAAGTGAAACACAAAAAGTGAAACTCATTAATATTTTTTCAGAGTCATTGGGCATTATTCCACCGTTCGAGCCTCGCTTTGCTTTTTTTATTAAACGCATTTTCTGTTGGCAAAAGAGCTGGTTTCATTACCACTCCGTAGATCACAGTAATCAATATGATCTTCACACTCTATGAGTTATTCATTCACTACAGGTTGTCCCAAAAGTCTTGTAGCTACAGCATTTTGTAGCTGTAACTACAGAATGCTCCGATCATCTATATATTAGGTTGGTCCGAAAGTTCGTTCGCACCATTTAAAAAAATCATAACTTCCTTCCCTCACAATGATTTTGCGCAAATCAAATTTTATTAGAAAGCGTAAAGCATGTAGTTTCCAACGGTTCCCTGATGACCTTTCAGCATGTTCAGATTGCAGAGATAAAAATAAAAGAACGAGAACATCCGAAATTCGGAATTTCTGAGAAAAAATTCTAAAAATCTAGAAACTGCGCGATAAAATCCAGAAAAGCCATTATCCTAATTTCTCTTATATTTGATTACTAACTGAGTTAAGTTCGTGCTGATCGAGCTCTTCTTTTAACAGTATGTTTTGAAGAAAAATGCCAAAAAATCGATTTTTTAGGAATCCTTAGGAAAATGATTTTTCGGCATTTTTTTCAAAAATTTATAACTTTTAAAAGAAGAACTCGATCAGTACAAACTTAACTCCGATAGTGATCAAATATAAGAAAAATCAGGATAATGGCTTTTCTGGATTTTATCGCGCAGTTTCTAAATTTTTAGAATTTTTTCTCAAAAATTCCGAATTTCGGATGTTCTCGTTCTTTCATTTTTATCTCTGCAATCTGAACATGCTGGAAAGTCGCCAGGAAACTATTGGAAACTACATGCTTTACGCTTTGCAGTAAAATTTGAAAGGCGCAAAATCGTTGTGAAGGAAAAGAGTTAAGATTTTTTGAAAATGGTGCGAACGAACTTTCGGACCAACCTAATATATTAGGTTGTCCCGAAAGTTTTGTCGGTTTTTTCAAACCGCTATAAAACTATGCACAATAAAGATCTGAATGAGTTTGAACATACATTCGATGCAGCTTTTCCTTCTCTTTCTTAGAGTTACATTTTCTAGCAATAATCCTGCATGCTTTTTTTGGTATTTGTTACAATTCTTCACCCGTCATTTTTATCTGCCCAAAGTTAGGCTAATTTTCAAAAATTTAATTCCAATGTTCCGGAGGTGGTTAAGTATAGCACAAATAGAACAATTCTCGGACTACAAGGCAATGTTTTTAGATTCTCCTAAAATACCGTTTTTAGCTTCAAAAAATTATTTCTTCGGAGGTCTCGATTTTTGGCAAAGTCATGAAACACGCAACTGCAGCAAAAACATGAAGGCTCTTGAAATTTTTGCGATTTGAAACTTGATGGCCAATAAACAATAATTATGCAACATAACCAAGTTTGATTTGCTTTGGAAAATCAGCTTTTTGGAATTTTCGGTAACTTTACGTGGTAGACGTAATCAAAAAACCGCGGTTTTTCTTAAATAAATGATTATAACGGACTTGATAAACGTGACCCATGTAATCTAAAGTAAATACAGTGTAGCCAAAGATTTGCTCTACGTAACAGTTACTAGCGCTCTTCGGAAACATCAGTATAAGAATTTTTAAAATTCAGGGAATATTTGGCGTTAGTGCTGAACTGCTTAAAAAGCCATGGCGATAATATTGCAAAGACAGGATAGATCAAAGAGCAAATATAGCAGTAAGAAAGAGTATAAAAATTTGAGTTGAATGATACCTAGACCGTCCATGAATTAGTATTCTTTGGGTTTTAGTGAGCAATGAAAAAAACCGACAAAACTTTCGGGACAACCTAATACATATTAGGTCGGTCCGAAAGTTCTGTCGTTTCATATTTGAAAATTTGTAAATCTGCGCTATCCCCATGGATTTGCATCGTTGTAATTTTGTTTGAAAGCATAAGTCTTTCGCTTTCGAATACAGTCTTGATTTGCTTCTATCGCACACTGACTGCAGAGATAAAAATGAAAAAGTAAGACCAACTAAGTTTTGCTCATTTTAAGTTAAGTCGCCATAAATTTGAAACGCTACAGAAAATCTGAAAAGTTCAGTATATAAGTTTTTTGACCCACTCTTTACAACTGTGAAATGACTGTGCTGTTTGAACGTCTCTGAGAGAAGTTATGAATTTCGGAAAAAGTGACAAATTAATTGATTTTGGCGTTTTCTGAGTTAACTCGAAATTCAAAACTTCTCTCAGAGGCGTTCAAACAGCACAGTCTTTTCACAGTTATAAAGAGTGGGTCGAAAAACTTATATACTGGACTTTTCAGATTTTTCTGTAGCGTTTCAAATTTATGGCGATCTAACTTAGAATGAGCAAAACTTAGTTGGTCTTACTTTTTCATTTTTATCACTGCAGTCAGTGTGTAATAAAAGCTAATCATGAAGGTATTCGAAAGAGAAAGACTTATGCTTTCAAACAAAATTACAAAGATGAAAATCCATTGGGATAGCGCAGAGTTACAAATTTTCAAACATGAAACGACAGAACTTTCGGACCGATCTAACATATCAGGTGGGTCCGAAAGTTTTGTCGATTTTTTCAATTCATCGGCAAACACGTTAGAATGAAGATAAGCTAATACTTCAGAATGTATCCGATGTAGAATTTCTTCCTCTTTCCAGTTGCTAAACTCCTATTGTGTTTTATTGCGGGAGTGACGAGATATTTGCTGGAAATTACAACAACTCGTTTTTACCATGTCCAAGTTTCGCTAATTTTCAAAATTTTTGTATGAGACTTTCGGAGGAGATCTGATAACCAGCAGATAGGGTTAATCTTTTGCCAGCTTATGCAATCTTTTTCTTACTTTCAGCGGGTTTTTCAGATTTTTGCTAAATAATTTTCCTGAAAGTCTTGTGTTCTGGAAAAATCGCACAACCTGTTATTGCACCAACCACTGCAAAACTATAGAACAATGAGGTTTCAACACTCGATTATTACTACCGCTACCATTACAAACTAAATGAGCGATTTTTGTTTCAAATTATGAAGATTTTGAAGCATAGATTTCGTCAGTGCGCTCCCCTGAAATTGAGAAATACTGCGATTTTTCCCACAAATTTTGCCTGTCTCGGCAAAAAAAGACAAGCGTTAGCAAGAGGAGAAAAATCTGCACCGAATGGTGATTGAAGTGTTCAATATTTTGTGTTCTACGAGGTTAAAATAGGCTGAATGTAAAGTTTGGTCCCTTCAAAAAATAAATCGTAGAAATTCTGAAAGACAAGCCCTAGGGCTACAAAAAATTACTTCTGTTGGCAAAAGGTTTGCCCTATCTGCTGGTTTGTAGTGCTCCTCCGAAAGTCTCATACAAATATTTTGAAAATTAGCGCAACTTGGACATGGTTAAAACGAGTGGTTGTAATTTCCAGCAAATATCTCGTCACTCTCGCAATGAAACACAATGGGAGTTTAATAGCTGAAAAGAGGAACAAATTCTGCATCGGATACATTTTGAATTGTTTGCTTATCTTCACTCTAGCGTGTTTGCCGATGGATTGAAAAAACCGACAAAATTTTCGGACCCACCTAATATATTAGGTTGTCCCGAAAGTTCGTTCGCATCATTTTCAAAAAATCATAACTTCTTTGCGTCATAACCATTTTGCGCATTTTAAATTTTATCAAAAAGCGCAAGGCATGTAGTTTCCAACTCCCCTGGTAACTTTCCAGCATGTTCAGATTGCAGAGATAAAAATGAAAGAACGAAAACATCCGAAATTCGGAATTTTTGAGCAAAAATTCTAAAAATCTAGAAACTGCGCGATAAAATCCAGAAAAGCCATTATCCTGATTTTTCTTATGTTTGATCACTATCGGAGTTAAGTTTATGCTGATCGAGCTCTTCTTTCAAAAGTTATGATTTTTTTGAAAAAAATGTCGAAAAATCAATTTCTTAAGAATTCTTAGGAAAGTGATTTTTCGGAATTTTTTTCAAAAAATCGTAACTTTTGAAAGAAGAGCTCGATTAGCACAAACTTAACTCCGATAGTGATCAAATATAAGAAAAATTAGGATAATGGCTTTTCTGGATTTTATCGCGCAGTTTCTAGATTTTTAGAATTTTTGCTCGAAAATTGCGAATTTCGGATGTTCTCGTTCTTTCACTTTTATCTCTGCAATCTGTATATGCTAAAAGTCACCAGGGGACTGTTGGAAACTACATGCTTCACGCTTTCTAATAAAATTCAAATTTTGCAAAAGCGTTATGATGCAAAGAAGTTATGATTTTTTGAAAATGGTGCGAACGAACTTTCGGGACAACCTAATATATATTAGGTTAATGCAAAAGTTCTTTCCGCCTAAATTCAAAAATTCATAACTTCCGATTTTTTCAACCAATTTGGCTGCATTTATTTTTCTATGAAAGAGTAACTCATGCTCTTTATAACGACATCTTAGATGTTTGCTAGTGGTCATTTGTTGCATAGATAGGAGCGATAGAAGAAAATTGGTCAGAATATGAATTTTTTGTGTAGGTTCATAAAAAATCGGAAACTTGCAAGAAAAATCGAAGCAGTCAGTATTGTAGACTCTTTTACCAGCTCTTTCTAATGGTGCAAAGCTTGCGTCGATTGAGCGTCTCTATCAAAAGTTATGATTTTCCTGAAAAATGCCAAAATAAATCAAAATCGCCCTTTTGTATTGCTTGCTCGAAAATCATAACTTTTGATAGAGACGCTCAATCGACGCAAACTTTGGTCCATTATAAGAGCTGGTGAAATGACCTACAACACCGACTGCTCCGATTTTTGTTGCAAGTTTCCGATTTTTTATGACCCTACACAGAAAATTCAAATTTTGACGAATTTTCTTCTCTCGCTCCTATCTATGCAACAAATGATCACTAGCAAGCAGCTAAGATGTCGTTATGAAGAGCATGAGTTACTCTTTCATACAAAAATAAATGCAGCCAAATGGTTGAAAAATCGGGAGTTATGAATTTTTGAATTTGGGCGGAAAGAACTTTTGCATCAACCTAATATATACAGTGCTGGCCAAAATTATAGGTCCACTCTAAAAAATGCTCTTCTCACTCTGTTGTACATGAAATTTTCCAAAATTTGATAGAGACGTGTGTTTACCAGCCTACTATCAGTCTTCAAAACGGTTATCGTTTTCGTTTGATTATTCAAGAAAAAATTAAAAATTTTGAAAAAAGCAGGGTTGAAGGCTGACCAAAATTATAGGTCCACCTGGTGTTTTTACTGATTAAAGCACTTCTTAGCTCCCGAATTTTTTTAGGTAGGTACTCATATAAAAAGGTTAAACAGCTGCTTTAGTCAAGCTGTGTCATACCTCCAAAAAGAACTGATTATCTGCTTTTTTGCCTTTAAGATGCACTCACATGTATATTGCTCCACAAACCTGCGTTGAGTAAGAAATTCTGCAGTTTCTCAGCTGGATTGAAAGGGACGGGTTTTCACCTATCTTTTGGATGCTTTTTGACGTGACCATTGAGAAAAAAAACCGACTTTTTGCTGCTGAAGCAAATCTGACATCGGCTCAATCGGCAGAGTAAGCCTCAGTTTCTGCCCTAAAACCCTTTATGCATTGTCATTATAACTTCAAGATTCTGTAGAAGCATTTTTTACACAAGAATAAAGCTGTTCGGACAGTATGGCACTCGCAAGTGTCCACAAAGCTGCCTTGCTTCTTTTCGAAACATGAGTTGTGTGTTGTATCCTGTTTAACCTTTTTATATGAGTACCTACCTAAAAAAATTCGGGAGCTAAGAAGTGCTTAAATCAGTAAAAACTCCAGGTGGACCTATAATTTTGGTCAGCCTTTAACCCTGCTTTTTTCAAAATTTCTAATTTTTTCTTGAATAATCAAACGATTTAGTCAAGATGTCGATGATCTTGAATTATAAGGAAACTTCGCTCAAAGAGGTTTTCGAACACGCGTTTACGATAATCGTCTTTTGCGAGTACAGAGTTTTTAGCAGAGATATGGTGAGAGAACTTAGCTAAGCCACGCAAGTTCGTAAATTCGCCTGCATTTTTCGAGCACCTCTTAGAAAATCTGCTTGCTTGCTTTTGCACGTTGAATTCACTAGAAAGCATGCTATTGAACGGTGCATGCATTTGGCTTCAATCTGCAGCAATCGTCGAAGTACGGGCCTACGAAATCACGTCCTCATGAGTTTTGCCCAAACTGAAAACATCGCCTGCTTCGTAGAAATTCCACCTAAGTGACTATAAGACACTGTGGTCGCGAATTTTATGTTCAATTCGAAAGATTCTGAAGATCTTGTTGTATTGGATCTGGTGGTTGTGCGTGCCTGAGACGCTTAGGTGAATATCAAAGCAGATTCGTGCTAGAGCTCAGATCTATTTAATTTCTTTCAGTAGAGCAGGATAGATTCCTTAAGCGTTGTGAAGTCAAAGTTGGTGACCAGCGACCATTCGCGACCACAGTGTCTTACAGTCACTTACGTAGAATTTCTACGAAGCAGGCGACCTTTTCATTTTGGGCAAAACTCATGAAGACGTGATCTCGTAAGTTAGCCCGTAACTCGACGATTTCTGCAGATTGAAGCCAGATGCATGCACTGTTCAATAGCATGCTTTCTAGTGAATTTAAGCTGCAAAAGCAAACAAGCAGATTTCCTAAGAGGTGCTCGAAAAATGCAAACGAATCTACGAACCTTAAGCTCGGACCTGCTCTTTTCTCATGTTTGGGGCACAGGCAGCCCTCCACATCAAATTTTTAAAAAGTTTGGTTTAGTCGAGCTACTGCTTTTGATTATTTATAAAAAAAGAGTAGTTGAGTAAATTTGTTATCAAATGGGTCTTGCATAAAAACGTCACTACTTTTTGATTCACTAACTCCCTGCACTTTTGCTGAAAAGAAAGTCTGTTACAATTATCTACTGCAATAATCACCAAGTCACCAATCGCAAAAATATTTGAATTCTGATATTATCAAAAAACTAGCTTGCTTACCCAGCTCTGCTCGGCCCTGTCAATACAACACAGTAATGAAGGTCGAATCCCTATCCCCGTACAGCCTTTCCCTGTGCCCACTTCTACACTTCATTCCCGTTCCCAAAAGTAATCGAATTCTAAAAGTGATATTGTAATCGAAATGCGTGCTCAATTATCCCCTGTGCCAACTCCCAACCCTATAGGAGAACTCTGCAAAAAAATCGATAAAAATCGATAAAATCGACATCGATCGACAACGAAAAGTGCGTGACATGACACCCGCCCGGCCCAAGGTGTATGTGTGCCAAGTTCGGTCCTCGGTTAAGAAATGGAATTTTCTATTCGGAACGTACGTACATACATGCAGACAGACATACAGACATGCAGACAAACATACAAACAGACATTCAGCTTTATATATAAGATATGCATGCTTTACTCGTCGTTTACCGGTCGCACCACCGAAAGCTAGAAAAACTGAATCATGAAGGCTAAGAAGCCAAGTTTTAGAAATTCAGATTATCGATATATGACAGCAGCTGCCTACATTTGCTGATTCGAACACGTTTTTTAAACATCAAATGAGTAGTGCAATTATCATGCCTATCAGTGTCCACTACCGTAACCTTCACTGAAACAGTAATTGCTAAGCTACACCCAGGGTACAACAAAGTGGCTTACAAGGCAAGCTAGACATTGTTTTGGAATAAAAGCAAGGGGGATATCGTTTGAGGGGAAACCCCAGCCCCTCCCCCACCCCTCACACACAATCGCCTTCTTCCTTCATGTCATTTTTCATCTGAAAAAGGACGCAAATTTTCATTCCTGCCTTATAGATCTCATTTTTGCAAAAATCAAAATCTCCTGCTTCAACAGGTTCGCCGGGCTAGCGCGGGTTCAGACTTGCCGCGAAATAAGCAAAAGACTTTGTTTACAGCGAAGAGAAAATGAAATGACACCGAATTTGGTGTGTAGATGGGCAATAAGGAGCTAGGACTATACGTGAGAAAAGTTATGAAATTATTAAGTGAGGTAAAGGCGTGGCAAACTTTTTTCGGAGTTATGTTCTTTTCAGCCACCTGGGCAGCCACCTGAGGTGGCTGTTAAAAGAAAAAGTCATGAATTTTCCTTCCTTCACACAATTTTTTCGCTTGTTTAACATAACTTTGTTCTACATGAAAAACCCTACGACTGAGTTTTTGAATCTCCCTCGACCCCCTTTTCCCCGCTTAGTTACAGCCCTCCACAGATTTTGTATGGCGCCGGCAAGTCTGCTCCAAGCGCACAAGGGTGGGCGTCGGACACAGCATGCCAGTTCGGTGAATAGGGACATTTTCATTTCCTTTTCAGCTCTTTTCCGTCTTTTCAATGTTTTCTTCATGTTTTGTTCAATTATTTTTCGTTATTCGTTTCTCTTTATTCATGACCGCGTCATAGGCGATGTCGTATTCCTGTGGGAAAGTCTACGAGGATTTCGTTTTTGAAAATTTGAAAAATCTTATTGTTCACCTCACGCCGAGCTCTGGCTATACCTTACCTCAAACGATTGATGTTCAATATTGTATGACTTTTATTGAAACAGTATTTTGCTGAGCTTACCTCAAACCTCTTGTTACACTTTACCTCAAACCTATTAGTTTAGAAAAATTACCTTGTAAATTAACTTCATTCCTTGAGTATCGGCAAAATTTTCCTCTGCAGTTCTAAGCAATTTCTCTTCAGAGTAGCCTAATTTCTGCAAAGACAATTTGTTACAAAACGAGTGTTGAAATAAAAGGAAGCCAGTTTACCTTTAGGGGTTCTTCATACATTGTTTGCATAAGCGTCATGTTTAAAATATGCCTTCTAAGAAAATCTCCTGGTAAACTCTTGTCTAGCTTGCCATCCTCATTACGTATTGCTGCAAAATTCTCTGACGATCCAGAGATATCGTCGTGAAAACAAACAAGCCTGATTTTAATACTGTACTTATCGTTTAACCTATGAAGTTTGTATCAGCAAAGATTAAAATGGGTACGTCAATGTAATTGTTTTATCAAAATTATCATAACACCGAACTATTTGATGTCAGGCATAGTATGAAGTCAAATTATGCCTTTTTCTTTCACACAGGGAGTAGACCGCTTTTCTGAGAGTACTCAGACAATAATTCGGACGAAAGCAGTGCCTCTACCGGGCGAGCGATCATGCCTTTCGCCTCCGTCCCCTAAAAAACGCCGCTCGCCCGCAAGAGACAACGAAGTTTTCGGGCGGAATACCTTGAGCGAACGACTAATCATGCCTCTCCCCAGCCTACTCGGCTATACCGCGCGCTGCTTGCAACACTCCGTGTCTACAGCCTGCTGCCGCTGCGACAATAATGCACTGGTTTGGAGAAAACACATTCTGATTTGTTCATACATATATTGATGGATAATTTGATTTAAAAAAAATTTAATTAACGAACATAAACATTACCATTCATAAAACGTGCAGAATTTCCGAACTCAAGAATTTCGCGAAATTCCGGGAATTCCGCGAAATTCCGGAAATTTCGCGAAATTCACGTGAATCACGCAATATACGCAGGGTCACAACTTCTTTCCGAATGAGTATATTCAAAATCCAAAAACAGCATTGTATTCAGCTCGTCAAGGCGAATCTTTTAATTTACAAGTTGTCTCCAATACCTTGTTTTCGATAATTTTCGCATGGGTGTAACGCAACGAGCATCACACATAGGAGACTGTGATGGGCCCGTTCGTTAGTATTTTTTACTAAATTGTCGTGCGCTTAACAGCAGCCGAAGACTCTCCTTTAAAAGAGATAGGAGAGCTGATAACTCTGGAAAAATCAAGCTGTTCCAAGTTCTACTAGCCGTAACTTCCTTCGGAATGAACATCTTCGAAATCCGAAAGTAGCATTGTGTTTATCTCGTCAAGGCAAATTTTAATGTATACAGCATGTCCTTGAACTTCCGTTTTCAATTTTTTTCAAAATTTTCTAAATTTTTTAAGTTAAAATTTTCTAATTTTCTAAATTTGCAACGCAGCGCACATCAAACATAAAAGACTCCCATAAACATTTTTGGGTTGTGCTGCTTTCGCAGATTATCGAGCACTCGAAAGCAACCAGAATATCTTCTTGAAAAAAAAACTGGTAGTTCTGGAAAAATCGTGTTGTCTCAAATTTTGCTCACCGTGACCCTAAAATGGAAAGCTCTACTGTTAAGCAGGTGTAATTTCCATAATCTGCAAATCAGGTAACTTCTATGAGCAAATTTTCAAACAAATTCGGGTGATTTGATTTTTTCTCGTTCTACGCCCTGAAGCTCACCGATGGGTTTTGGTCAAAATGTCGATAATCTTGGATTGTAAGGAAACTTCGCTCAAAGGTTTTCGGACACGCTGTTTACGATAATCGTCTTTTGCGCGGAGTACAGGGTTTTCTAGCAGAGATATTGGGAGAACTTAGCTAAGCCACGCAAGTTCGTAGATTAGCCTGCATTTTTCGAGCGCCTTTTAGAAAATCTGCTTGCTTGCTTTTGCAGGTTGTTGAATTCACTAGAAAGCATGCTATTGAACGGTGCATGCATCTGGCTTCAATCTGCAGAAATCGTCGAGTTACGGGCCTACGAGATCACGCCCTCATGAATTTTGCCCAAAATGAAAAGGTCGCCTGCTTCGTAGAAATTCTACCTAAGTGACTGTAAGACACTGTGGTCGCGAATGGTCGCTGGTCATCAACTTTGACTTCACAACGCTTAAGGAATCTATCCTGCTCTACTGAAAGAAATTAAATAGATCTGAGCTCTAGCACGAATCTGCTTTGATATTCACCTAAGCGTCTCAGGCACGCACAACCACCAGATCCAATACAACAAGATCTTCAGAATCTTTCGAATTGAACATAAAATTCGCGACCACAGTGTCTTATAGTCACTTAGGTGGAATTTCTACGAAGCAGGCGATGTTTTCAGTTTGGGCAAAACTCATGAGGACGTGATTTCGTAGGCCCGTACTTCGACGATTGCTGCAGATTGAAGCCAAATGCATGCACCGTTCAATAGCATGCTTTCTAGTGAATTCAACGTGCAAAAGTAAGCAAGCAGATTTTCTAAGAGGTGCTCGAAAAATGCAGGCGAATTTACGAACTTGCGTGGCTTAGCTAAGTTCTCTCACCATATCTCTGCTAAAAACTCTGTACTCGCAAAAGACGATTATCGTAAACGCGTGTTCGAAAATCTCTTTGAGCGAAGTTTCCTTATAATTCAAGATCATCGACATCTTGACCAAAACCCATCGGCGAGCTTCAGGGCGTAGAACGGGAAAAATCAAAGTACCCGAGTTTCTTTGAAGACTTGCTCATAGAGGTTATCTGACCTACTGATTACGAAAATCACATCTGCTTAGCAGTAGAGCTTCCCATTTTAGGGTCACGGTGGGCAAAATTTGAGACAACGCGATTTTTCCAGAATTCGCCAGCTCTTCTATCTTTGTTCAAGGAGATATTCCGGCAGCTTCTTAGCGTTCGTTAGCGCATAAAGGCCCCCCGTTCGTTCGAGTTACTGTCTGAGTATATATGCACTATGTTTATGTATTTACGTCTTTTCAGTCTGCAGTTTTCATTACGAATGAAAAAAGACCAATTTCGCAAATCTTTCCCCTCTTTTTTTTCTTGATGTTGACTTGATGATGGTTGACGCACCATGTCAAAAAGTGGTTTCTTGTCACTAAATAAAGACGCCCAGTTGCATAAACATGTGCGGTGATTGTTACAAAGTACCGAAGAGGATGAATTGCCTCAGATCAAAATATGAATAATATCAATATAAAAATTTTTTTTTTGAAAAATCGATGCAAGTTTTAGGTGAATTGAGTTGTTACGATCTTTCCAGCGCTCAGATAAAGCAGTGTTAAGTACTAGCGTATAAGACAAAATGTATCCATAACTGGTCTTATGCTCGACACTGGACCATTTGAGCAAATATGGGCGATTTTGTTTCCGTTTGGTGTTCAGTTTGACCCAATAAACGCCCACTACTCGGCGTCCAAAAGCGCTTGACAGATGATGAAGGCAGATTTGGAATCATCGTGCAATACTCCCCGAAGTCTCGTTTTAAAAGGCTACTTTCGACTAAACTCGCCTTCCTTGTAAGCTAGCGCATGAAAAGTTGGGGCAGGGGGGGGAGGGGAGAGGAGGTCAAATGCCTACACATACACGGTGTCCCATACGTAAGTACAAAACTTTTCAATCGCTCGTAACTACCTTCTCAATAAGCCTTTTCCTCAGCTTCAATTAGCATTCAATAGAGGATGCTTCAACTTGATTTACATATGGAGCGAGTTACCCTAAACGAGCCGTAAGTGGCTAGATATTTTTAAAATAGATGCTGGTCCGAAAGCTCTATAATTAGGCTAATCTGAGTAGCTGATTGATGATATGAAATTCGCACTTCACCGTAAGGCTTTTTTCTGCTATGCTAAGTAAATCGCAACAATAATTTTTAGTGCTTTTTAAAACGTAATAGGACCATTTAAAACGAAAAACCATGAACAGTTGTCTGATGAAGTTTGCTATACGATCTTCTGAAACTTTTATTCAAACCATCTATTTCATGCCGTTTTATGCTGGAAGTCTAAACTATTCCTAGAGTAAATGGCGATGGTTAATTTACTCCAAACTGCAAATCTAACAATAAGTTGAATGTTCCCGTCTAAATGGTACTTAAACTTATAAAAAGGCTTGGTAGGAAGAGAGTTATTAAGGATCAAAAAGCGTGTAATTACTTTTGGGACTCCCCTTATGGTGACCAAGCGGCCTTCGAGGTCTTGCACGATCATGGTGTCATTTTTGAATGTCAAGGAAGAGATTACACTTAGCAAGAAGGAATATTTTTTCTCGCCTCCCCTACTCAGAAAATTGTCGGGGGCAAGCGGTCATGCGATTTATGGGCAAGCGAGCATTAAAAATATAGTCCGCTGATTTCTTGTGGTTCACTTGCAAAAATCTAAAATGTCGGTGCTCAAAGAAACGAATGCGAATTTTTCATATATTAGTTACGGCGCAGAAGCCGCATTCTCGCGGACTTTCCGCGAGAATATGCAAAATTATTAAAGGCCGTGCGGTCCTTCGTGGACACACCGCCCGTAGTACCCCAAACTCGAGTAAGTAAAGCATCGGTGACACCTTTGCCATGTAAAATGTTACCTTTGCTTGGTGTTTTCCTGAAATTGAGAAAAAGAGCCCAAGCGTCTGCTAAAATTTTGGCCAGCGCTTGCTGGAAAAAAATTATTTGACGAGCGCTCGCAAAATTCTGTATTGCTGTCCGCCGGCAGAACACGGAAGTACCGCTTGCTGAAGGTTTAGACACGCTCCAAAATTTTGCTGACCTTGCAGAAAAGCAGTAGTTTGCGAACCGCCTGCTCCCGGCAATTATCCGATAAGGAGCTTATCTTTTGCTTTGCGCAATCTGCTAACATACCATTGCCCTTTGTCTTTTTGAAGCATTCCATACCAGACAGCCGCGCTCGCTTTCAGCAGGGGCTGACCTGCTACATGATTCAACTTTGAGTAACCACACACACTCTTTCTGTGCAATTTAAGCGAACTTTACTTTATTGTACATAAAATGTGGGAAGTTGGATGACTGCAGTTGATAGGAAATTATTCTGCTAAAATTTAAAAATTAGTTCGATATAATACTCAACAAATTGCTACAAAAAAGCCTAATACGTAAGGGTACAGGAGATGTGTGCAATGGGTTTACACTACGCAATCGATGCGTAACGTACCTTTTACACACACTCGCTATTCTTTTATATAGGAATAGGCTGATAGCATTGAAGATTCAAGGACTATTCTGGTGTGGCGAAAGGCTGGAACTAGAGTACAGATTGTATGGAAGCAAGCTAAACTTCGTTCTTAACGCGAAAAAGCATAGGGGATGTCGTTTTTGCGGGGTTGCGTTGTCGAGCATCAAGGATAAGCGCCATTTAGTCGAAAAGCTTCAAAAACGGGTTATCATACGAATGACTGCCCCGTCGGGTTTGCGAAAAGCGCGCGAGATTTGAAAGCAAGGCTAAAGTAAACAAATTGCTTGTTTAGAGCGTAGACACAAGCTTTTGACACCAAATTTGTATTATATAAACACAACATTATTTTAAGGAGAGAATTATGCAGAAAGTTTTGAAAACTTATGTAAACTAATACTTTCTCCAAAATATGTCTGTTCCCAGACGGCCACCATACGATCTGAGATCGTACGGTGCATTTTTTGGAAGTTCGCATATTTGAATTTTTCTTCAATGAACGGATGCTCCAGCCTGGAATCTACCCCTGAGCATGAAACCATTTTCGTATAGCCCAATGTATACCGTTTTTTGCCCTCTTATATCCGAAATTTACCTGTTAGATAACGCGCCCCGTCAACTCCTACGCATCTTCTCCCTTTGTATTTCCACCTTAGTTTAAGCTTTGATTTTAGTAATTTGATGATTTTTATTCTTCCGTCTATATCAATTTAACCAACAACTGATTCCCATTAATTTTCGTTCGCTATCTTTCGTAGCTATAGTCAAGTCTTGTTCTCATTCTAGAATTCCATTTAAGATTTCGCTTGTCTCAGATTTTTTTGAGCCCACTCAAGACATTCGGGGGGGGGGTACAGCAAGGGTCAAGGAAGACTCAATTTTTAAAAGTCAGCGGAGTCTTCACAAGAAGCTTAGAAACGGACTCGGGTCGAGCCCTAGCGGAACGGGAGAGGACGCAACAAAAAATTTTTCAAAAAGATGAATAGCATGCGTTTTGGACGTGTGGTCGTCCTGATTGGACATACTTCATTTCTTGCACTAAAGGCTATTTCTTCACAAAAGCTAAAAACAACGGTTTTTTTCCAGGGTTGGAAAAAAGCTTTTCTTTTTATTTGCCCCTTAAGCTACCCTCTTAACGGACAATAATGCCAAGATATTGCTGATTTAAATTTACATCATAATCGCACAAAAGCTCCGAAAGCCGCTCCTTGTTTGAAAAGTCCATTAGTAAGTTCCTATTTTTTCCAAATTAGTTGAAGCTGTAAGTAGATAACGGCAATGATTTGTCGTGGTCTGTGGTATTCCTAGGTGTAGTCTTCTCGCTGTCGCAAAAGAAAATTGAAATCTTTTGGATATTAGATACCGCCCTTCAAGATATTGAACATCACCTCTCAAATATATAGAACCCGCCGCTCTCTGCCGCTACGCGGCAGGTTCGGCTGGTACTCTGCAGCTTCGCTTTCCTGTATTTTCGTTCCACTCTGTATTGTGCAAATGTGAGAATTTGCTAGTAAATTGTTAGTTTGCACGAAACACTTTTGCTTAACCTATGTAGAAGGATGATCGAGGACGCACTTTTCTCAATCAAATTTGTGTTAGTAATCTAAACAGCAGACAATGCACAGTCAATAACGCAGAAGGGCTGGATGTGTCCCATGACATGCGTAAGGTCTGTGTCCAAGTCGCAGACATGTTCAATTTTCATTTTCATTCATCTTACATGTGTCCCAAGTCCCACATAAGGTAAATGACGGTATCACAGTGTTGGAAGTGAAAGCATTCAAAGGAAGTGAGAAAGGTGTCATGGAATGAAGAAAACATGGGGGGGGGAACGATATAAGGGTGTTGACTGTCATTGGATTAATATGGTTGATGGTAATGCTTGATCCTGGTGAGTAAAATTTTTGCTTTTGATAAACCTAGCTGGTCGATGAATCTCGCTGAGAAAGGGATTGATGCCTTCAATCAGTTGTCGAGAATGTTAGATGAAAAAATAATGATAGGTTGAGAAAGTTAATAATTGAAGCAATAGAAATTGTATTCGTAATAACTCGCCTAAATATCCTTTTCTGCCAATTTTAACCCCAAGAGCGTAAAGTAAGAAAAATTAGTAAATCGATTATGCCTATATTAGTGGAAATGGCTCACTGACAAAAGACTCGTTCAGAAGTTTATGCATGCAATGTCTGACTCAGATCTCATAATTTTTTCTAGCATTCTGGGTCATCCATAACAAATGGCTAAAAAAACGCCAGAAGTCAATGAAACAAAAACGACAATAGATTATTTTTGATATAAGCTTAGTGACATCTGTCCACCACAAAGTTCATGTTCGCGAAGTACGGTTCAGACCTTATTATTTTTTCAAACATTTTAAGTCGGCAGAGAACTTTTGAGCAAAACTGCAAAAAATTGATAAAGCTTTGAAAGCATTGGTATGTTTTGAACAAAATAACTTGTGAACACACGCCTCGCACCATTCAAATGCGTATGAATTGTGCTATTCCCCTCTTGTTTATCTTTCTGGTGATACTGAATTAAAGTTGCTAAGAAGACATTTTCCTTTGAAACCGAATCTCAATGAAAACGATAAAAACGCGGAGCAAATTGCCGCGAAAGGTAGCCTGTGCTATTCTGCGGTGTTTAGAGCATATGCGTTTTCAGACTGAATAAAACTTTTTCTATTATTCAGACGGAAAAAAATTGAAAGGCAAAAACTGAAATAATCAATGAATCAGTAGGGGTGACCAAAGTCCCGAAAGGCAACGCCAAAAGGCGCATTACCACACGCTCTTTCCTACACAGTAGGCCTGTCAATGGTTTAGATTTCTTGGCTCCTTCTATCCTTTTTCGGCAAACATACAAAATTTTCTAAGCAAAAACTGCAAAAAATCAATAAATCGTTAGAGCCAAACATTCAATCACAAATAAAATGGCTTATTATTCATAAGGTCTGCCAAGTTTGGTTCAGATTCCTTGGCTTTTTCTATCCCTTTTGGGCGAACATACAAAATTTTCTAAGCCAAAACTGCCGAAAATCTATAAATCGATAGAATGGAACGGTAAGTCCTGATCAAAATTGCTTATCATATGTCTACCAAATTTGGTTCAGATTCCACAACTTCTTCTATACTTTTTAGACGAACATATAAACATATATAGTATTGATCAACAAATCGATAGAGTCGAGCGGTGGACCCCGAACAAAATGGCTTATTAACACACGCCCCACCCCACCCATACATATGTTCGCTCAAAAAGGATAGAAGGAGTAATCCCTATACATTATGTCTGCCAAATCTGGTTTAGATCCCATTACTCCTTCTTTTTTGGGTAAACATACAAAAAGTGACTAAGCCAAATTTATATAGTATCGATACTAGCTGGCGTGCTCAGCTTCGCCTGCACCGCGGGTTTAAATGAAAACCCCGTTACGCGCAACCCATTCTATCATGCGCGGACAAGCTTGCGATTCTCCCTGACCCGTCAGAGAAGGCATGCCGCAATGTTATACTGCGAGAGTCCTGCAACGATTCTGACTCTCTAATAATGGCGGGGCATGCTCCACACGTCCAAATTAAAAACGGAAGGCGTTGGGAAATGGTAGTTTTTGCCATTTTCGTGCTCTTCAATGTGGATCTTCGGAACAGCGCCTCAAATTACCCCAGGTAAGCAAAAAAACTCCAAGCCGAGCCGCTGCCTTTAACGGGAGGACGAAGAAATAATGTTGTGCAAACACAGCAGTGTTGTTTCGTTGAACAGAAAGATTTATCTTATATATAAAGCTGAATGTCTGTTTGTCTGTCTGTATGTCTGTATGTCTGTATGTCTGTGTGTACGTATGTTCCGAATAGAAAATTCCATTTCTGAACCGATCCGGACCAAACTTGGCACACCTACACATCGGGCCCCGGCGGGTGTCATAGGCTACTTTTCGTCATCGATCAATATCGATTTTATCGATTTTTATCGATTTTTTGCTGAGTTCACCTACGGGGCTGGGAGTTGGCACAGGGGGGTAATCGAGCTCGTAATCTGCATGCTCGATTACCCCCCTGTGCAAACTCCCAGCCCCGCAGGTAAAACTTTACAAAAAAATCGATAAAATCAATAAAAGTAATCGATAATTCTGAAAACTAATATTGTATTCGGAATCCCCATGCTCACTTCCCCCCCTGTGCCAACTCCTAGCCATGTAGGTGAACTCTGCAAAAAAATCGATAAAAATCGGTAAAATCGAAATCGATCGATAACGAAAAGTGGACTGTGACAGCCGCCGGGGCCCAAGTGTATGTGTGCCAAGTTTGGTCCGGATACGGCGGAGCCGGGTAAGCTAGCTAGTGAACAGATAAACCTGGCTTATTTATTTGAATAGCTTTTTGAATCAAGAAAAAATGACTTACCATGTGTTCCAAATGCGTGCATGAACTCATGAGCAATAACAAAACCTATGCATCCAAACTTGTAAAATCTGAAATCAAAAGATTAGCGGAAAGTTCGACTTTCTACAAATCTCGGCATGATAAATACTGTGTTTATTCGATTGTTTAACCACGACCGAGATTGGTAAGTTTTTATTTAGGCTAACGTTTTGGCAATAATTCGCCTTCTTCAAAGCCTGAAATGGGCGAAAACAATTTACAGACTACTCGTTCAAACATCTCCTCAACCCCACAGGCAAAATTCTAAGCTTTCTTTCGATCACGAGCAGGCTGCCACACGCAGTACTCACCTTTTATTCGTCGGTAAAGTTCTGGTTTAGTACGAGCGACTGCTTACTGACCGCTTAAGCAAGGAATTAAACATGTCTTCACATGGTCAAAAGATCTGATTAAGATACGGTGCGAGTTCTCGTGTGATAGAGAGACACTCTTCCTTGCGGTTCATTTTAGGGTTTCTAATATGAATCCAAAAGGCTTTTAGAGTTTTGCGAGTGGATGTTTGAGCTTGGCGCGCTAAAATCTCTACTTCCATTCCAAAATCAACTCCTTTATGATTTTGCACTCTGTGGGCGCCCAATGGAGTGGATGTGCGTGATCTCTCTTTCCCTTTGAAATGTTCCTCAATACGTATGCTCAGAGGTCGTGCTGTTTCTTCGATGTATTCGTTGCCGCAATCCTTGCATGAAATGAGATACACAACACCGGTACTCATGCAGTCTCCGTCCCTTGCTGTTGGGCATATCGGACAGTCCGGCGTAGGGCAACCGCGGTCGTACATGCGATTCCGAACAAGGATAGTTTCAAATTGTTCGGAGGTATATCTACTACCGAAACTGTATTGTCTAGTCCTCCGTCCTCAGACACCGCCGAATGGCGGTGCACACTTAATCAGAGATGAATGGAATGCAAAAGGGTATCTCTTCTGCTGCGGACGCTCTTGCTCTATCTACAGCTCCCCTGTTGGCTCCTACACCGCGTCATATTGTTTACATAACCGTTCAATGAAGCTATACTACGCGCCAAGGCTAGTAACTCCGTCTTTTCCTCTCGACCGCTACAAACCTTCGCAGCTGTGCAAAACATGTTTCTGACCGCAGCTTTTTAGTATGTAAAGGATGTGCTGAGCGGGAGTGGACAAGGATGTTCTTGTTGCTGGGTTTTCGAAACCACTTCATTTTCTGGGTCCCAAATGCATTACTGACTTGAACGCTCAAGAAGGCAGCCATGCGTTATTAGGTTTCTCCCAAGTTATATGTGTTCTGATTGCGCGTTCATCAAATCGAAGCACTCATCAACTTCCGCCTGTGTGGTACAAATGATAAAGCAGTCGTCGATGTATCTGCAATAAAGCAGAGAGTGCAACTGCAACAGGGGGGGGGTCTCAATTTTGGCCATAAAAATAACCGCTAAGGTTGGAGCCAATCGCTGACCCATAGCCAATCCTCGGATTTAAGCGAAATATTTCCCGTCTTAATGAGAAGATAAAGTACGGGACAGATTGGCTGATCAATTCTAAGGCGGCTGACGATATCAGGCGCTAGGTTGCTGCCTTCGCTGTCTTTGTCCATTCTCTGTTTAATTTGCGATATTGCTTCTGATACTCATCTTTCGTAGACAGTTTGTATAAAGTGGCATCTTGAAGATGTCTCTCTGCTATTGCGATATCTAGATGATGAGGGATCATTACAAAATTGCCGCTTTTATCATTTGTTAACAAGTGTCTCTCAGCAGCCTCTATCATTCTCTGAATTTGTTTTATGGCCTTTTTCTGTATTCTACTGATGTTTGAGTGCATCTTACTTCTATGAAACCTTGCTAGAGTTCTAAAAACATCGTCGGCAAAAAGACGAAAGTTTGCGTCAACGCCAGGATTTGCATCCTGCCGTTTGAAGAACATTCGCGGGAAAGGTATCGGCAGTCAAGCTTCACTCGATCTTTCGTTCGCGCATCCACTCTCAGAGTTTGCCCTTTTACGGAGCTTGTCTTGAAATTTTTATAGAGCACAGGTAAACTTTCGTAGAACCAGTGTAGAGATGGATTGTGATAGCGAAAAACTGGGGCCCATCTCTAACAAACAACGCGCATTATCAGGAAGCTGAAACCCTCCTATCACTGTTACTCGCGATGGCGTAGAAATTTGAAGACATTCGCTCTCGTTTTCAGTTTCGCACTCAGTTTTATTTAAAAGATTCATTGTATCGAGTCGTCTTGCAGCGGTAGCTGTGACCTACTCAAAAGGCTGTCGAATTTCCTCTGCAAAGTTGCCTTGATGTTAGACCGAATAGAAATGCAAACTGTAATCGACCCAACCATTATTCTCTTCCAGAGGCTGTTCTGTAAGTATAAGGCACAACATCGTTCTTTCAATACACACTTCTTTGTCCAAGCGTACATTTGATTCTTCCTGGTGCTTAGAGCGATTCGTAGTAGACGAAGTTGTTTTGCACTTGACTGCCGTTCTCTGATAAGCCGCAAAGTTCATGTAATTTCTTCCGCAGTATGAAGTTAGGGACGATGCGGTGACGTAAGCAGCGTTCAAGAAAGTGGATTGATTGTTGAGCTGCTACGATTTTTTGCCTCAGCGACAGTGCCTCTTTGACAAGTCGACGATAACCGGCTGGTACATTACCGAAGTAAGTTCGACTTTCTTCAAATCTCGGCATGATGAATACTGTGTTTATTCGATTGTTTAGCCACGACCGAGATTGGTAAGTTTTTATGGACAAAGACAGCGAAGGCCTTAGAATTGATCAGCCAATCTGTCCCGTACTTTACCTTCTCATTAGGACGCATAAAATCCAATCCGAACGCAATTTCGCATCTAATGATCTCGCAACTTTCAAGGTCAGACCTATAATTAGTTGCGTGGATGGACCCACAGATAGGATCGGATGGTATCTTACAAGGAGAGGATACTTAGTCGAAAGAACCAATCCAGATGAGACACATATCGTCTTAAAGCGCTTGAAACGCTGATTCCAAATCTGTAGCTTTTAGCAGCGGAGCTGTTCTGTAGAAGGAGTTATGAGGGGTGTTTCCTTTTGAGGTTGAGGCGCCCTCCAGCAGATCTTTCCTTATCAATGAGCACTGTAGAGGAGTACCAACTGGTGGCAAGTGGCCTAGTGGTAAGTGCCCTGCTTGATATAGAGAGCGTCAAGGTTTTAATCCCCTTCCAATGCAACTTTATCGCAATTCTTGAACTTTCGAATGGCTCTAGAGCCCTAAAGCCTGAAACTTCGGATGATATTGATGCTAATTGAAATTGGAAGTGTTAAAAAATCAAAGTAATACGAGTATTAAAATCCTTAATGTAATCTTCATCCAAATTACTTACCACTAGCCAGCTGCTACCAGTTGGTACCAGTAGGGTAAGGGGAGACCTGCTGGAGGGCGCCTCAACACCAAAGGGAAACACCCCTCATAACTCCTTCTACAAAACCGCTCCACTGCTATATACTATAAATTTGGAATCAGCATTTTGAGCGCTTTAGAGTGATACGGGTCTCATCTGGATTGGTGCTTTCGACTAGGTATCCTCTCCTTGTTAGTAAAATCTTAGTACAGCTACTTCAATTCATCCATCCCATCTGAGCAATACGCAGATGTTTCTAGACTCCGTCTACGTAAGTCACGTGTTTCTGCTAATCATGCCATGGAGTCATTCGACGTTAGCGCGTTGTACACGAATGTATCAAATGACTCTGCATTACAAGCCGTTTGTGAAAATCTGATAGAACATGAACAATCCATAAGACTTTTCAGACTATCTATCGCGCAAATAATGGCCCTGTTCAAAGCGTTTCTAGAGTGCAATATATTCAGGTGTTTTTTTCTTTTTTTCCTTGCTCAAGCGGTCAGTAAGCACTCGCTCGTACTAAACCAGAACTTTACCGACGAACGAAAGGTGAGTACTGCGTGTGGCAGCCTGCTCGTGTTCGAAAGAAAACTTAGAATTTTGTCTGTGGGGTTGAGGAGATGTTTGAACGAGTAGTCTGTAAATTGTTTTCGCCCATTTCAGGCTTTGAAGAAGGCGAATTATTGCCGGAACGTTAGCCCAAATAAAAACTTACCAATCTCAGTCGTGGCTAAACAATCGAATAAACTCAAAAGATTAGCCATGCTGTTGCATCCGTAACTTTAACCAAACAGGTGTGTGTATCTAAACGCAGTAGTAGTCTTACGCATGTCTGCATAACGGTGAGCTACATTTCAAGTATATTGCTTTCGTCTATGCAAATTGTTTATGCAAATTTTCGCTTTCAAGCAGAACTCGTTGCATTATTTTCGCATGAATAAGGTGCATATTTTGGAAATTTTACAGTGTTCTAGGCATAAAAATTTTCATGTATGAAGTATTTAAAGTGGGCATTCTGAGCATTTTACAGTGTAGTTAAGATTTCAAACCTGCTCATTAAGAGATAGAACGATCGTAATGCACACTTGCTTTTCCAATCAAATGCCCAAAAGCTGAGGCACTGCAGATGGCATACTGGCGGCTGTTTGGCGCTGTAAGGTTAGAAAGCAAAGACTGAACAATTTGAATCAGTGGCATAAAAGACTTCAGGGACTGGCCAATTTTACAATAGTTCAATCCCATCCCTTCTTCCCTTTCCCTTCTCCTCCTCCATTTTCACCTATCTCTCGATCTCATGCCTATGTCATATTTATGAAAATCTATATTTCTATCAGACCAAATCAGAAACACGCAGCGATGGCACCAATTTAAGGTACAGCCACCTCAGGTGGCTGTAAAAAGAAAAACTCATAAATTAGGTAGCTGGAAAGCCACCTAACTTCGAAAAAAGTTTGCCACGCCTTCAGTTTACATAGTTTTTTCATATTCGTATATAGTCTGTCTATCTACACACCAACTTTGAGGTCCTTTCCTTTTCTCTTCGATGTAAAAATGCCTTTTGTTTAATTCGGGACAGGTTTGAATTCGCGCGCTTAAGCGGCGAATCTGTGGGAACAGAAATTTTTTGG